TGATAGATGATAGATGATAGATGATAGATGATAGATGATAATTACTGTCTTCTGCCTTTCAAATGGAAGGATAATGAAAATAAAATCTTATTTGAAATTGATGCACTTCATAAATCCTCTCTGTTTAATGCCTGCAATTCTAATCCTTCTCCTGGAGGAGAGATGGCCAAACCAACAGAATTTAGATGTCCAACTAGCCAATTTTTCCTTCTACTTTAAATAGAAGGACCAATCAGCTCCATGGATGCCTAAACTCTATAATGGCACCATTGGTCAGGGAGTCCTCTTTATTTCACTATGTCTGAAACGTTGGTATGCAAATGCCCAATATCTTATGCACAATTCTGGGTATAAAACTGGAAGCTCAATGCTGCTTTCCTTTTAAAATACATCCACAGCCTCAGAATTAATTTGTGTTAGCAAATCAAGACTAACAAAACTGATTTGTTGAATTCCTTCTTTCAAGCGTGAACAATTCTTCCAACATATGGAAGAATACTGGTTTCCTCTGTTCTAAGGCAACTGAATTCTTAAGAAATATGGATGTCTTTATTTCTAAGGATTCTGAAGTCAATCAACTCTTCCATGCTATTGTTCCACCTTCTGATGTAAATAATCTCTCCATGAAAACAAAAATTAAGAAAGGAGGTTTTTTACTTCTTACAATCTTTTTTGAGAAGGGAATATCTTGTCTTTGAAGGGTTCATCTCAAGACTATATTAAAGATTTAAATGTTCAACAAATTGCACCTCTCCATTTATTATAATATTTCACAACATCTGTCTTATGAAAAGAGGTACTATAGCTATATCTGTCAGTTGTTTCAGGTATCATCCTTAAAGACAAAATGCTGTATGCTGAGTCAAAAAAAGGCAATGGATAACAGGAAACACCATTATATATAGTGGTGAGATTCTGAAAGAAGTATAATGAATGTTCAGCTTGCTTCTATGATGCCAACAAGATTTTGTAAAATTTTTAAAATCTCCAGTGAGGGAAAAAGTCTTCACATACTTAAATAGCCATATAGGGATCAGAGCCAATAAGCCTTTAAAAGTTTAGGTCCTGATGACATGGGGAAATGTCAGAGAGATGGTTTGGATGCTAAATATAGTTTGTTAGGCAAGAAAGTGAAGTCTGGGATCTCCATGGTTAACTTTCTCTAAAAATATCGCACAACCCATATTGGAAAGACAAGGCAAGCAGAGATATGGTTGTCAATATTTATGGATGAGAAACTAGGGTGTTTTTTTAATCAAAAAAAGCCTATGTAGCAATAATACATTTTATCAAGATCAAAATAAATGTTAGTACTATATTTTATAACATGGCAAAGATGAATACAGTAATAGTTGTCAGTGAAATAATGATGGATAAAGAAAGACTGCAGAGAAAACCGAAATAAAATGGTTGAAAATATAAACAGCTATTGGGGCACCTCTAAAAAAGACTACTCCATTCTTCCCTGATTCAGTGTTAAGCAGTTACTTGAAAACATAAACAAATATATTGTAGATCACAAACCTACTGCGTCAAATATAATTTTGGACTGAGAGACATTAAAATCCCTGCTTAGTAACAAAACTCATTGGGGTTGCCTCTACACCTCAGTTATTCCATGAGTTTAATGAAAATAAAATGGCCCCACCTGATATAGTCTTGAGCTACTGGAGGAATGGCATAATATACTTTATGAAAATAATTAAGATTTTAGTTATGGGCTGTGATTCTATGGGAGCAAGCAGTTCTGAAAAAAATGAAACAACTTCTGAATTTGTATATTAAAATTGCACTGCTAAACACATACATTCTCCCAGATGAAATCAGATTTTTGCAGCCGAGATGGAAGCCCCTTTGCATATATCACATATCCAGCACAGACTTTATTTCTATAATTCCTTATTAAATTGCTTATATGCTCTTTCTCATGTATATGCACAAAAATCTCAAGAGAATTGACACACAAGGTCCAGAGATGACATTCCATCCAGGCCCCTTAAAATAAAATGCATTAAAAAGACATGTGTAACAGTTGGTTTTTCTTTTTTGCTTCCAGTGTCCTTACTAAACTGTTGCTTTCTTTTTTCTTTTCCTGTATATTAAAGCTTAAAAATTAATAAATATATTTTTACCCTTCCATGTGAGGTGCAATCCATTTGTGCCAGCAGCCCATCATCTGGATAAACTAGATTAGTTTTATATTATTTCTTTTATAGAATTCTGAAGCACTAAGAGACTGCCTCTTCACCTGGGCTATCTAAGTATTTGAAGAGTTATATAAGTTTTATCATATAATATATACCACATATCATATTCCCACTATCAGTTTTCTCTGCTTGAGTCTGAACAAACTCACTTCCCTCAGTCTCACTTTGTATCTGCCAGTCTCTGAGCGTCTTTCTTGCTCTTCACTCCATCCACTTGTCTAGTTTTTTCTTTACATATAGTGCCAGGACTGAGCACTCAAAGTGGAACTGACCAGCACAAAACAGAGCAAAGGACAGTTCAGTTGATGCAATCTAAAATCACATTTAAAGTTTTCCAATTATGTCACACTTCACATTCTTATTCCTGTATACACTAAAATACACACACATAATAAATTCTATGCAATCCCATAGTGTAATTCTGGGGAACTCCTCCAGTACCGCTATATGTTTATTATTCTTTCTACAGGTACATCTTCTCTAAACAAACTTGTAACTTCATCCTTGACCATCAAACTCTTGAAAAGAGATCAAAAGATCTCCAGGTAAGTTTGCTTTCTTGTGTGCAGCTACTGTATCAATGGAATCCTGTAACCTGGTCTTAATGCCATAAGGTCTATAAAACCAGAAACCATCAAAAGTAACAAACATTTGTGAGTCAATACAACTGAACATTCTCTCTCACTTTTTTCATAGTCCTCTAATTTTAATACTTTTTTCTTAACAGTTCATGTTCACTTACTGAACTTAACAGAATAATTTTTGTTGCCTTGTATTTTCATTAATTCTCCAAGATGTGTATAAGATGATGGCCATTTTTCCATTTCTTTCTGCAGTGACCCTATTCCTTCTTCCGTATAACACAATCTTTTTTTTGCTTCTACTATTTCACTTTATAGCACTTCCACAGGGCTATAGTTGCTTTTTATTTTATTTTATTTATTATTTTGAAGATTTGCATGGCTGCCCATCTTGGAGCACAACTCTGGGCTATCCTTCATAGTCCCCAAGCCCTCTGAAATCTTCTCTCAGGGACCTGTGGCTGTACTCCCTGCAGCCACTGCGAGATGTGCTCCCTGCACCTGACTAATAAGGGGATGAAGAAGTCACTTTCCCCACCTCCATTCCATCCCTGCCCACTTTGCTTCACCATATGAGTTCTGGGTGAGGACAAGGGAAGCCAGCCTAGCTACTCCAAGCAGCCCTCTAGCCTTGGGCAAGGGCACCGGGGAGTTTCAGAGGCCTTGCAGCCAAAGGGAAGGGGGAAGAGGGAAGCATCATGCCCGGAGCCAGGCATTGGCAGGAGACCTTGCCAGTGGAAAAACTACCCACCCCCAGCCCCATGGAGTTCATGTCTCTCAAATTTGGGGCTTTTGGCAGCCCAATCAGGGCTACAGGGGTGTGGCGCTGCTTTGGAAGCAGGGCCTCTCTGGAAGCAGGGACAAACCCCATGTGGAAATGGCTTCCCTCTAAGAAGAGGACTGAAACTTCTGCTCTCATAAATTCTTCAGAAGCTTCAGAAGTTTCCTTAGTGTTTTCTTACAACACACTAACATAGTTACTCCTCAGGAGATTCTTAATCCATTTTCTTGTCCATGTGATCCATCTCTTTTAATAAACACTATCCTGAAACAATTTAGTTTGGATTGAAAACATTTCTCTTTCACCAATAGATATTGCCTTTTCTGCTGGCTCTTCTTTGAGATTAGTTTTCTTCCTAATTCATGAGCCTAAGTTTTATTCATGAATTAAGTTACTGAACCATCCTAACTGGTTGAAGTTATTCTGGCCCAGGTTCCATTGCATTCCACCTTCCCACCCCGGTGGGAACGGAATCACCGGCCAGCACAAAACAGTGTGAGTAGTGAGTAATGGATGCCGGGGGGAGCACCCACATCTGCAGTATTAATGGAAATTGTGCTGCTACAACTAATCAAGATAAACAGCATAAAACAATAAGTGAGATCTGAACCACCCACATAAAAACACACATTTGCTCCCCTTCCAGCATCAGAAGTCTAGGGAACTGAAAACTATCCAAGCTCTGGAGTGGTTCCACCAAGTTGTTGCCAGGATGTTCCAGTTCAAATTCCATGAATCTACATTATGTTTTGGCCACTGTCTCCCATAAAAAATCAGAGCCTCTCCCCACCCCCAGAAAAGCCCTGTAGCCTGCAAAAACATATATGGAAGCACATATGGAGACACAACACAACATGGCTACAATGTCACACCACACAAAATCTGGCAACACAAAAGATCAGAGGGCCAAAACATAATGAGGTCTATTATTTCTATCCCAGGCAGAACATTTTGGAACTTACAGATATTCACAGCATCACTGGGAACCAAACAGAAGAGAAGGTAAAAAGAACTCAGACAACCTAGCACTGCAGCAGGGTCATCCGTGGAGGAGTTAACAGTGTCATAATGGGGGTGCAACTGGACCATCAAAGCTCCCCTCCATAAGGAGCATTGCATGCACTGTGTGCACATAAAGAGTGGTCAGGATTTGATCACCCAATTGTGCCTGCCATTTTGACATGGTTAACTTGCCCTCACCCCTCACCCCAGCCTGTGCCCCTGCAGATCAGTACGGTAATAAAAGCAGGGCCATCTTATTCTAGGTACCTTGACCTTAATAACAGAGCTGTAGAGAAGCCCTGGAAAGAGACTGCATTAAAAATCCAGGTAAGGCTGTCTCCTCACAGTCTGGAGACTTGGGTAGGCATCCCTACCATCTGCCTGAATCCTGCGTATTTTTTATAAGCCTGAGCTCCCCATGGCCTGCTAAGTCATACGCTTTAATAGTCCAAATCTGTAGCTGAGACAGGACAGTTCAAATGGTGGGGCTACAGAGATTAACATAATCCTTTCTGCTTTGGAAGACCACTTTGGATGGGGTGGTCTATTCAATGAGCAAGCTCTTATTTCCAGTAGAACTTATTTCCAGCAGAAAGGCAATGGAACCACTTCTGTGACAGCTTCTCCTTCTACCTTCTATGTCTTACCAGACTGGAAATTCTAATCTTTGCCTGAATATGATCATGACTTTCTATTCTACTTACTGAATCTTAATTGTCCATATAGAACTTTATGTGTTTTAAACCCTAGACTGGACTGTGACTAGCCCACCTATCAATTCTGCCACAAAGCTTCTAATCATACTTGGACTATTGAAATTACTATAGCAACCTTTTGGGATACTCAGTGACAACTATCATGCAATGATTCCTCACTGCTTTCCCCATAGGCAAGCTAGGATGCCTTGAGATTATGTTTTCCTATCGGCACCAGTAGCAGTACCCATCAATGTCACAGCAATCTATGATTCAGGAAGCATATGTGACTGTCAGGTCCTGGAACACTCCCTCTATTTTGCCACTTTAGTTCTCATTATGAGTTCTCATTATGAAAGTTATGGCTAAGCACTAGCCAGGAGTTGGAGTGGGGAGCTTGATTAAGTACCTCCTATCCCTCCCACTCCAGATGATTGTGATGATACACTGCCCCTTTTTCTTCTAACCAATAAAACTTTTAGAAAGGTTTGCCTCATATTATAGGGTGCATTGGGCACCAGAGTGATCTCCCTGATAGTAAAGACAGCAGTAAAGACCATTATTTCACTCAGGAACAACCATCATCAAGTAGTGATTTGATTTTTATGATTTTTTTTTAATGGGAAGAGCCCTACTGGGTCAGACCAAAGGCTTATTTAACAGAACAATCTGACCTCATAATAGCCAATGATGCCTATAAGAAGCCAGAAGAAATACAGTGTATGAGCACAAAAACACTCTCCCACATCCACATCAAAGCAATTTATACTGAGAAGCAGAGAGCCTTTGATCCATTCAGCATTCTCAGTAGACACTGAATTCCTTCTTCATGGTTATTCTTTTGTGTATCATAGTGTAATAAAAAAAAATTGCTATAGCTCCATAGAAAATTTTGATTAGCTGAATATGATAAATCAGTTAAGGAAAAAATTTATTATATCAAATTAATTAGCAGAAATACATACATTGATACAACAATGTTCACAATATAATGTCATTACAATACAGTAATACAACATTAGATAAAAGGAAGAAAAGAAGTTCTCATAATGGCAATTAATTCCATAATTAAGGTTACAGGGAACAATTTGCTCAGCAGACTGATGTAAGAATACTGGATTTAACCTTACCTTGAAATGACAGTAATGAAGACAGGGGAATTTTACCAAACTCCAAACCTATTCAGGAGCTAACTTACAGAATGCCATGTCTAACGATACTGAGTTGGAAAGGTTTGGAACTAGTTAATATTGCCAGCATGGGAAGTTCTTGCAAGAACTACATTGCCTGTAGATCATCTGGTACAATCATAACCTTGGAAAGGACTTTTGAGGTCATCTAATTCAACAACTTGCTCAGTGCTGGATCCACTGACACATGTCCATCCAGTCTGTATTTGAAGATCTCCGTTGAAGAAAAACTCTCCACTTCATGTGGCAGCCTGAAGAGTTGGGTTTAAAGACCACTCATCATCTTGATAGCCCTTTTCTGAACTGCTCCAATTTGTCATTGTCCTTTTTGAATTGGGGTGTCCAGAATTGGACATAGTATTCCAAATTGGGTCTGACAAGAGAAGAAGAGAGTGGAACTATTACTTGCCATGATGTGGCAACTTCGGTGTGCTTGGCAATTTTGGTGACGGGTTTGTCTGGGAAAATACAGAAGGGTTCTGTATGCATCTATATTATGTTCCTTTGTTTGGAGACATAAAGTTGGCTGTCACCTTTTCTATAGATATGTAGAATTTAAAATTGTTCCATCATGAAACAGCATTAGTTCTGCATCTTACAAGAATCAGATTCATTCCACTATTCCATTCTCACACAGAAAACCCCACGAACAGCATGCCTCTTGCAGGAACCCCAGCTCCCAAAAAGAAGAGAAAACCTACTAAACTCATTTTAGAATTAACCCAAGAAGGTAAGATATATCCCATGCACATAAATTCCTTTTCCAATAATTCTTCCCTAGCATCTATAGAATGCTTTACAGAAAACATAGAGGTCCTTCTCCCAGACAGAGGAATCACTTTGACATAATATGTAGAACTACATTCTTCGATCAGTCAAACAGATAGAGAAGGAAAATGGTGGTCAAATTATGGTGAGAGCCAAACAGCAATACACTGTAATTTGTCTCCAACATTTTTGTGGTTAACGAAGCAACCACAGAGGCTGAAATCCAAAGGATAAGACAGGTGTTTCTTGTGGATGTAAAAGTAAAAATAACAAAGATTTGTAAGCACATTCTTCTGAGATTGCCTTTCTAGAAAAAGCTATGAAAACGGTATCCTTCTCAAGTCCAGTTGTGCCAGACCTCCCATAAGGATACGGTAGTCAGTGGTACTGAAAGTCCTTGACAACTTTAGTGAACTGATAGGGCAGCACTTCTGTATCCATTTCCTAGCATGAGCTTCCACCAGAATGACAATCTCAAACTTGGGTCTGAATATGGAATGGAACTAAATAATCAGTTTCCCTTAACATTACATGGATTGGAGAGGCTATCATCTACTCTAGCATCTTGCTAAAAAATGTAAGATTGGACACTTAGTGGTGACTAAGAGTTGCTTTGTGAGATGAGTGGCTATATAAATGTGATGCACAAATAAAAAACAAAAAGCTATTCTTGATGATAGTCTCAAGATTTGATTTATTCAAAAGAGATTGCATCACATGCTTAAGGTTAGCAGGAACTACCCCCTCTCTCAAAGAAGTATTGGTTCTCTCTGAAGCCCATACATTCAGTCCAGCAGATTTCAGCCAATAGGATGTGTAGGGGAAGATTATATTTTATACATCTAGACCCCCCAGTAATTTCAATTCAGATTATATGTGGTATGCCTCAGGCTCTAAGTAAATTGTTCATTTCTTCAGCTTTGAAGAATTTAAAAATGTATGTCAGACTCTTAAAAATATGGGTGGTTCAGCTGTCATAGGTCAGAACAGTTGAATCTGCAAAATAAATTGGAAATTGAAAACAACCCTTCATAAGCTCTGCTACAGTATCTGATCATGCAGACTTAGGTGTCATAGGCTGTTTGCTGCCTGAAACTGTTCTACATCATACTGACGTAACAAGGGAAGGGTTCTTTTTTTCATTAACATCACTGAAGATCAGTTCAGTCATTTTCATTTTTAATATTATGTCACATGAACTTATGCCATCAATTCAATTGTTTCATTGCCTTCAGCTCTATAGAAAGCTAAGGAGCCAGTACAACTCTATATTCAGTTGAACTGAATATAGTATTCAGGACATGGGGAAGAAATGGTGTAGATGTCCATGTCTTTCAATCATAATAATTAAAATTCAGGATTATGTAGGATCAGCAGTTAAAGCTGCAAGAATGTCTTCCACTCTCCGAGAGAACTTAGGGGTTTTTAGCTTTACCCATCTCCAGGTAGATTCAAAAAAGGCAACCTCAGTTGCGAATATTAAAATCTCTCAAGATCACCAACCTCAGGGTTGTTCAACATCATACCGTAGACCACTTGATTAGTTCATTTAGAAGACAGTTGTTCTGGAAGAAGGTAGTACAGCAATAGAATCCTATCACATGTCGCCAACACCAAATCTTGTATTCTCAGTATCAGGTAGAATGCTGAACAGGGTAACAAATCAGAGAGATGGAATTCCTATGTGCTCTCACCCCTTAAGCTACACTTTGGGTTACTCCTAATAACTTGGCACATCTGGGAGAATTTCACACCTCCCCTTCATCCTATCAAGTTTCAGTGATGCAAGCCACGTTGGCATGGTATTTCAGGGAAAGTCAGAAATATGATGCAGTGATCAGTAATAACAGTCAGAGATGTACGAGGGGAAAAGTGAGGATTACAGCCAAGCCATCAAAATTGTTGAGGCAGAAGGTGAAACAAAATCTTAGACAGCAAATACTGAGCTCAGGGGGGAACTATATGTTCCTGGGAGTTGGGACTGTCACATATTAAAACTTCTAGTATGCATTTGTCCATCTTTATTTGCACTATAGTGAGAATCACCCAAAAAGTCATAAAAAAAAAAAGCTTTAGCATCTTGCAATTTGAGTTGCAAATGGCATAGCCTCATTTACAAGGGTGTTTCAAACATAAATTCTGAAAATGTCTTATAGCAGGTAGTTTTATTGACCTTTCCTTTGTCTTTAACATCTATTTTCTAGTGCAAGCAATGTGGGTACAGTAGCTTTTAAACCATGATGTTAAGCTGGTGCGCTGAGAACAACAGGAGGATGGCATGAAGTAATCTTAGTGTGTAGCCTACCCTGATCTTCTTACAAGCATCAGTATGAGGCACTGCTAATTCTGCTGAAATAATCAGAGTGAGATTGCTGTTAGTTGAGAGGCAATTGTTAGTTTGTGATATCCACTGGTGATGGATTAATGATCAGAAACCTAAGTAAAATATAGTAAAAGGAACCAGAGCAATGAAGTTAAATATCCTGAATATCATAGATGTCATTTTGAAGCTAGTTGGAGCAAGTCCCTGTTGTATGATCCCACATTTCCATTGCAAGGTTGTTTCTGCTCTCCAGACATGGTGCTTATCTATGCTCCTCTTTCAGATCAACTTTCTCCCTCTCCATTTCCCTGTGATTTTTGTCTCCCTTTTCTGCAGTCTGGTTTCCTTCCTCTTTACTACACCAATAAGAAAGAATTTTATAAATTAGATCCATAACCCTAATTCTTCTTCTTTTCCATGATTAATTTTTGCATGTTTTAATTTTTTCAGAATGATGGATTTTTTTTATTTTTAAATTTTATTTACAAATTTTTAAAAAATGACAAAACACCAATAAAGCTCCACACAATTAATGAAACAATATTTAAACTTAAAGAAAAGAAAAATTAATAGAAACCAAAAAAAAAAGAGTATTACATATTGCTCCATCTTTTGATTAGTAGGAAATATTGCCTTTTCCAAAACAGATAGATCACCCATTTCCATAAGCCATTCCTTAACATCTGGAATAATATTAGTTTTACAATTTTTCAATATACAGTAATTATTTTAGCTGCCTCCACTCCCCCAGGCTCAATACAACCATAAATGCTGATAAACAATCAGATTCCAAAGCTTATGCCATAAATCTACTTACACAGTATACATTAACACACTATTACAAAAAGATATCAAATGACCATATCATATGGATCAATGAACCCTCAAGTTTTTTACACCTCCAACATAAAAACCTGGTGTCCGCTCTTTCAAATACATTCTTTGGGGAGTCCAGTACACCCTAAATACAAGGTTTTGATGAATCAACTTTAATCTCAAATCTGTCGATACCATTTTAACATTTTTAAGGACACAAATCCACTGATAGGGCATTATTGAATATCCCAAGAATGTCCACTTAAAAAATATTCTTGAGCTTTGGATAGAGGAATGTCATAGGTTTTACTTTAGTCATGGATCCCAACAAATAAGAGAGCATCTCAGGTGCTTTTGAGGCAGCCAAAGCATCTGGCCCATATTGGTCCATTAGAATATGCTTAAGTTGAAGATACCACCACTGTTGCAAACTGGGAGGACAAATTCAATCTGAATCAGAATGATGGAAATGACTAGCAATTCACAGATGCAGACATAATTTGAATATGCTGTGATCAGGACATAAGTAACCAAAGCTAGTTTTGGGTTAAAGTTGCAGATGGCAATCTAGGTAGGCCTGAAGATCCAGCAATAATGTCAGATCCAGAAAAAGTCAGACAAAGATATTTACAAAGAAATATTCAAAGAAGGAAGGGAAAGAGAGAAGAGTGCTTAACAATTCCAGAACATGGTGGTCTTCTGCAAATCCATCCTCAGGCATTTAATTCCTTCTCCAGCATACACTAATCCACATTTCTGTCAGGAAAAGCAAAATTTATCAGTAATACTAGGTAGGCAGAGTTTGTTGAGCTGTTCAGGTGGCACTGGCCGAGGAATTGCAACCCAGGTTAAGGTTTGCTGCTGTTATAATAGATTTCTTCTTGTACTCCTTCAGTCATGCCACAAGAAGGGTCCAAGCTGAACCTCGGGAAGAAGATCAGCATTCCCAGGGATGTGATGCTAGAAGAACTCTCTCTCCTTACCAACAAGGGATCCAAGATGTTTAAACTTCGCCAACTAAGAGTAGAGAAATTCATATATGAAAACAACCCTGATGTTTTCACCAGCAATTCTGTGGTAGGTATAAGCAGGCACAGGAATGGGCCATCTGGTAAATTCACATATTGAGGCTAGATCTAGATCCCAGATGTGCATATGTAATACATGTGCATCTATAAAGGGAATTTCCATTTGTAATTCACTGTTGCTTCCTTCTTTTCCATACCATAAAATCCATAAGAGGGAAAAGATGGACTAGCTGCATAATACCTTTTGACTGGTAGCTCTAGGACCCGCCCTTTTGAAAGCACCTAGAATTATGTTTGGAGAAAAATAGTAAATTTGAATGCATCTGAAAAGGAAAGCATTTTTCTATACTTTCTATCCTGTTTTCTCCATAGTACTGATATGTTGGCAAGGATGTACAAAAACTGTTTTTGTTTTTTCGTTTTTCACTCATGGATCTTCCTCACTGAAGTGGGGACAGAGCATCTCTGCACCATTTAGTTCAGCAGAAACAGAATTTCTTACCTTCCTAAGATTTGGCAGGTCAGGAAACATTTTCACAAACTGCAGCTAGCTCAGTTTGTGAGCTGAAGCCTGAGCTGAACTAGAAATTAATTTTACCAAATAACTGTATTCATGCAACATTTAATCACGTGAGATAAAAATCTAGCACATTCACATAAACTTGCTAAGCTTGGCCCCTGTGAACCTTAGTTAGGGTTTTGTGACTAGCATGTTGTACAAGCCCAGCCTGTTTGATTTGTTTACAATGTAATGTATCAT